AAATTAGTGAATGATGCAATAAGTTTGATAAATTAAAAAAAAGTTAATTGATAAAAATGGATTATTATTATTTCATCTTTAATCATAAAAATAATTAAAATAAAATGTAACGAGTATAAATTATATTAAAAATAACATGTTAGTAATTATTTAAAATGAAAAAAAAAGTTAAATTAATGAAATTATGTTAAAATAAAAAATAAGATCGGTAGAAATTAAGTTGAAAATAATGTCAATAAAATTAAGTAAGAATTTTTATATTATTATTTATTATTAATAATAATAAGAGCACCACCTCCATAACAACAGCTTTGCCACGACACCACAACTGCCCCCATAAACTCACTTGCAATTTTTTTTCTCTTCTCTTTACTTTTTTCGTTCTCATTCTAATCTAAAGACAATGTAGTTGTTCACAAGCTCGACCAAAAATTTATGCATACAGAGAGAAATTGGTACTCTGGACATACGAATAATAACTATAACAGAATATTTTATAGACGTATAAATTTGGGGAATAAGTTTTTTTAGCTATTTCTATTTTGTCGCATACCAAACAGCGTTATCACCATTTCTGATTGTAAATACTAAAAAAAAAGATAAAGCCTGGATATTAAACATATCAAATTATAATATAGATGAACATAGACTAATTTTGATCAAGAGTTCAAATATCCATACATGTTTTTTTCTCTTTTTAATATGCAGATATGAGGTGTAACACATAGACGTGACATGATGGGTAAGACAATGCCAATTTCTCAGTTTGTCCCTATTTCTATATCTGACGCGGCGCATTGGAATGACCTATTATTCCTAACTTAGATGGTTAACCACAACTCGATTATAAGAGTTCAATTTTTACATTTACTAGTTTTGGAACTTATATTTATATTTATAATCTAAAGCATGAAAAAGAACACACTATGAACTAAAACATGGAAAATAAATAAACATCTTAATCCTGTCCCTCCAAAATTACTATTTTTCTTATGCGTGCAACACATGGGCAAAGAATAATTTAATAATGAATTAATTTAAAAAGTAAAGATCATCCAAAATACCCTCAACCTAAATGTAATGTTACAAACTAGTAAGACATCAACAATACATAACTAAAATTTTAAAATACGAACTAAATTTTAAAATCAAATAGTTGGTCTTAAGATAGTTCATGGTGCATACGACTTCCAACTTCTATCTGAATTTTTTATAGTGTTGCAATTAAAATTCTTGATATCCCGAATTTGGATTTCGTCACAAACGCGACAAATTATACTCTCAAGTCCTACATAAAAATCTAGTGCACATAGTAAAATATTGATTTTTTTAATGAAAACTTATGTAACAATATAGCTAAAATGAAATTACAAGATAAATTAAAAGTTCCAATCAATGCGCTTATATTCTACAAATATATGCTCACAATATCATATGGAGCACTTTTATATATTTATGGAGAAATGTGAATAGAATCAACTAAAACAATCTAATGTGAAAGTTGTTTAAAAAATGGTAATATGAAAGATACACCCTAACGTTTTTAAGGGTTTCACATATTCTTGATTAAATATTATTTTGCAGGGATTGTGTTTTTCATTAATGAAAATTCAGTATAGGTCTTTGAACAGGTTTCCTAGATTTTTTTTTTTCCCTCTTACACAGGTCTACTTTTTTATTCAATTTTTCTTTACAGATTATTAAAATCTAATAAAGTGTGTAGAAAAATATACATAGAAATAAATACAAATTACATATTAAAGTTGGTGATCAGAGAGATATCGTCTAAATTTTGCAACATGATCTCTAAAGAAAGAAGAAAAAAATAATATATTTATAAGTATGAGGAATATCGTTTTTATGAGAAGACGTTACATCCATAGTGTTATTGGGAGTATTTTATTGAATAACTTTTTGAAAAGTAGGAAATAAATTATTAAATTTGCATATCTGAGTTGTAACACAAAGCTGTGACATGATTGGTAAGATAATGCGAAGTTCCCATCTCGTCACGATTTCTGTATTCCATGCATGTCGTTTTGGAGTGAATTATGATTCCATAACTCTGTTGTTCGTTTGTGGGTGAAATAGGGAATGGAACAAGAAGTACGATAAAATAATATTAACTTTTTATCATTAATGTGAGAGGGAAAAGAGTATAATAATTTTACACTAAAAATGTTACAATTAAGGAAAAGCATACTGTGTTATATTTATTTTTGCTTTACTTTTTCAAATATAAATCATTTTTATAATATGCAAGAAAAAGAAAAAGAAGAGACTAATATAATAAAATGTTACCTCTTCAATTAAGTCCGTAGAGATTTTCTTTTATAATTTTTTTACACCTTTTCATTGGGTATCTTGATCAATATAATACACGATTTGAATATTATATTTAAACAATTTTTTCACCTCGGTATCACAATCCAACCTTGCATATTATATTACAATAATTGTTTCATGGCTCCCAAACAAAAATATGTTTACTGTAAAATATAATAAACGGTTTTCTCAAGGTATATTCGGCCGAATTTAGACATTATTTTAGCCATTTCCAAATAGATTTATTCTAAAAAATCTATATGACAAATTGGGTTAACTAAAAAATAATCACCGAACTTAATTTAAGTTTTTTTAAGTCTATATAATTTGTGGATTATATGGACTTGTACTGAATCGATTTTAAGATTTATGAAGTGATCTATTTTTAAAATAATAAAAATATTACTTATTAAAACATGTGTTGTGATCCATATATTATATAATTTAATTTAAAAATAACAGACTTTGTTTATTAATATAAAATTTTGTCTTTTTAAGTTTCGAATTTAACATTTTTTAAGTAAATCAAGATAGATAGTTGGTATGGTGATTCAATCTAGATTTAGCTTCACCTAAAAATTATATTCCATTAAAAATAAAACTGAACTGAAAACTTTAAAACCGAGAGAACCCCGTTTTAAAACAATTCGTCAAACGAACATTTTATGTGAGACAACTATAATAATAATAATAATATCCGTTTTATATGAGATGGGTTATGTTAAGATATTGTAAATTGAATATTGTTGAAATTTGATTATTTTTTTAATTTGTGTGCATAAATCAAGGTGATTTAGTTCTGACAAAGAAATATAATTTGAATAAAAATTAAGGAATATCCTCTATTTAATTTTCGTTCATGAAAGACAATATCATTCAAGCTAAAGATAAAGAAATGCTGTTTCTCTAGTTTTCGTTCAAGCAAGAATATGCATTAGAACTGCATTATTATGATTTGTAAATTTTTTGAGGAAAAATTATATTTATATATAAAGACAGAAATTATATGAATTTTATTTAATAAAGATCTCACGTAGTATAAAGAAAAATTGCACAAATTAAGAATATTATTATATATATATATACGCAAATATGTTGATATCAAATTGCTATAAATTTTTGTGTTATTCTTACATGATATTATGTTGCCTTTTATGGATGTTGTTGACAATTATAAACATTGTTAGCCTTTTATGGGTGTTATGGGGAGTCTCCGCATAAAAATGTTTATGTACATTTCTTAATATTTTTGTACATCTCTAAATTCTTATCGGTATTGCCTTAAGAATTATAATATTAAGTCTCCCGTTTATACACTTCTTAAGGAAAAAATATTATGCACACCTCTTAATTTTTATATTCATTCAACACTTAATTAAAAAAAATAGTTTTTTTTCACCTTGTTAGTTGATTCATTCTAAATCATTTTTTATATTTTAAAATAAAAATATTTTTTATTGGTATTAGATAAATTTTAAATAGATAATAGAGTGTATTATTATCACTCTTCAAAAAAATTAGTTACGAGTTATTACTGTAGCTGGTGTTATTATTACTTTAAAAATTATCTCATTTAATTAAAGTGCATAAATAAAAAAATTAAATTCTAAAGTTACCACTTGGATGAGCGTTGAAAAAGAAAATCTATTACTGAAAATAGAAAGAAGATGTGAAAGTGGGTTGGATTTGTAGAATTAATATATTTTGATTGAATTGTTGGAATTACCTTGTATTAGCTTAATGCAAAATTAATATATTAAAAAACATATAAAAATATTAACACTACTCAGAATCTCTTACCTACACACATATATAAACATATGAATAAGCAATAAAGATGTTAAATAAAATTATAACGTTTTTGACAAAATTAATAATGTCCTCCCTTTGAGAAGTTCTTCTGAATTTTCTTAATCACTAAATTTGTATTTTTTAAACTACTCCCTATCATTAACTTTGTTAAAAATATCAAGTCCAATTAAAAGATAAATACTAACCTTAGAATTTTAATTTAAAAGTAAGCTCAAAATCTAATTAAAAAGTCCTGACTGAAAGTTCAAGTTACTTCATCACCAACATTAACTTTTGTTGCAGAATTAACGGAATTTATCTTTTAGTCTTGTAAAAAAAATAACTTGAAGTGTGTGCTGAAGTTTAAGTTTATGTATGTTTTGATATTTGAAGTCTTGTATATCTATAAAAAATAGAATAAAATTTATTCGAAACAAATATATATTGAACTTGATTAACACGAAATTAATGTGAACAAAGAATCCTTTAATTGTAGAATGAATAAAAAAAGTAAAGAGCATAAACTGATATTTTGGAGCAGCAAGAACTTTGTCTCATCAGTGATAGGAATAAGTTGAGAAAATGAAATAAACTAAAAATATATATAAAGATTATAAATAGACAGGTTGATGGTGTGTGAACGAAGCAGGGTTGTTAGTATTATAATAGTCCTGGCATTATTAATGAAGTGTATGATACTGGGTTGGATTGGGCAGCACCGCGCAGGGGTATTATCGTCCATGGAAAGATTTAGTTAGCAATATGCGCTTATCGTGTGGACCCCGCGTCTACTCGGCTTGCAAATTCGAAACGGTGACGCAGCGATCCTACCATCACCAATGTCTATCCAACCCACATGCTCCACCTCATGTCCTCTCTATAAATTCCTCTTCCCTCCCTGCGTTCCAAGCTCGCTTCCTTCTCTTCATTTCCCATACCGTTTTACTTCTCATTCTTCTTCTACTTCTTCAACTATGGGTATCACCTCCATCGCCTCTCCTTTCGACGCCATCCTCTTTGGTGAGTACAGGCCAACGCATGCTTCCTCTGTTTCTTCTTTCTTCCAAATCACTCTTTCTTAGTTCTTAATTCTTAATAATTAAACAGATTTGGACGACACCTTGTACCCCTCCTCCACCGGAATTGATCCCTGCGTCAAGAGAAACATCGAACTCTTTCTCATAGAGAAATGCGGATTCTCAGAATCCAAAGCGCTCACTCTCCGAGTTGAACTATTCAAAACCTACGGAAGCACCCTCGCCGGTTTGCGAGTCAGTATAACAAAATTTCCATCAATGTCCCTTCCATAACTCACAATAAGTCATAATTATACTCATTACAACAATCTCTCTTTCCTTACTTTACAGGCTCTTGGTTATGATATCACCGCAGATGAATACCACAGGTGAGAATAAAACACAGATAAAAACTACACCGAACAGAATTTTCTTTATTAACACTAAATAAACGTTGGTCTAGAACTAAACTTTTCGTTCTCTTGACATTCAACCAGTTTCGTGCACGGAAGGCTACCTTACGACTCCATCAAGCCTGACGCTCAGTTACGGAACCTCCTCTGCACTATCAAACAAAGAAAAATTGTATGTTACTACTTCTCGGTGGAATTTTTCTTTCCTCTTTTTTTATTACTATTTTATTCTGATTTTCTTATCTTCGTTTAAGGTTTTCACCAATTCGGATAGGATTCACGCGATGAGGGCTTTGGATAGGCTTGGGATCAAGGACTGTTTCGAGCAAATTATTTGCTTCGAGACAATTAACCCGAATCTCCCCAACGCAACCCGACCCGACGAATTTCCCGTCCTCCTCAAACCATCGCCGGACGCCTTCAAGATCGCGCTCCACGCTGCCAACGTGGATCCTCGTCGTACGGTAAGGGCGCCGCGAACTGCCTTTACTGTAAAATCACGTTAAAATACTAATTCAAGAAGCAACAGTAATCAACGGTCCCAGAAACCAAAACCAAGGAGTTCTAAAATAGTTAGTTGATAGCAGGGTTATTTTAGGCATGCGATAAAGTCTTGAATTAGTTACGAGGAAAATCACTTTCTAAATATTAATCGAAATAAATTGAAAATACATAAAAGAAAGGGTGTTTCCACACACAATACAAGGGGACAAAAGTCAAGAAACGAAACGGGTCGTCACTTCTTGTTTCGCGATGTCGTTTTTTGACAGTGAAAAGTTAATGAGATTATTATTTAAGGAAAAGTCAGAATGGGTGAGTTTTATTTTTTATTAGAAATTATTGAGATGAATGAGGAATAATGGTTTGTTAAAATATATATTGCAGCTGTTTCTGGATGACAGCGTTCGGAANTAAAATTTTAAAATACGAACTAAATTTTAAAATCAAATAGTTGGTCTTAAGATAGTTCATGGTGCATACGACTTCCAACTTCTATCTGAATTTTTCATAGTGTTGCAATTAAAATTCTTGATATCCCGAATTTGGATTTCGTCACAAACGCGACAAATTATACTCTCAAGTCCTACATAAAAATCTAGTGCACATAGTAAAATATTGATTTTTTTAATGAAAACTTATGTAACAATATAGCTAAAATGAAATTACAAGATAAATTAAAAGTTCCAATCAATGCGCTTATATTCTACAAATATATGCTTACAATATCATATGGAGCACTTTTATATTTTTTTTGTTTAATTTTTATTTTATTTATTTATATTATTTTATTTTTAATTTTTTTTAAAAATTGTTATATGAAAGATACACCCTAACTTTTTTAAGGGTTTCACATATTCTTGATTAAATATTATTTTGCAGGGATTGTGTTTTTCATTAATGAAAATTCAGTATAGGTCTTTGAACAGGTTTCCTAGATTTTTTTTTTTCCCTCTTACACAGGTCTACTTTTTTATTCAATTTTTCTTTACAGATTATTAAAATCTAATAAAGTGTGTAGAAAAATATACATAGAAATAAATACAAATTACATATTAAAGTTGGTGATCAGAGAGATATCGTCTAAATTTTGCAACATGATCTCTAAAGAAAGAAGAAAAAAATAATATATTTATAAGTATGAGGAATATCGTTTTTATGAGAAGACGTTACATCCATAGTGTTATTGGGAGTATTTTATTGAATAACTTTTTGAAAAGTAGGAAATAAATTATTAAATTTGCATATCTGAGTTGTAACACAAAGCTGTGACATGATTGGTAAGATAATGCGAAGTTCCCATCTCGTCACGATTTCTGTATTCCATGCATGTCGTTTTGGAGTGAATTATGATTCCATAACTCTGTTGTTCGTTTGTGGGTGAAATAGGGAATGGAACAAGAAGTACGATAAAATAATATTAACTTTTTATCATTAATGTGAGAGGGAAAAGAGTATAATAATTTTACACTAAAAATGTTACAATTAAGGAAAAGCATACTGTGTTATATTTATTTTTGCTTTACTTTTTCAAATATAAATCATTTTTATAATATGCAAGAAAAAGAAAAAGAAGAGACTAATATAATAAAATGTTACCTCTTCAATTAAGTCCGTAGAGATTTTCTTTTATAATTTTTTTACACCTTTTCATTGGGTATCTTGATCAATATAATACACGATTTGAATATTATATTTAAACAATTTTTTCACCTCGGTATCACAATCCAACCTTGCATATTATATTACAATAATTGTTTCATGGCTCCCAAACAAAAATATGTTTACTGTAAAATATAATAAACGGTTTTCTCAAGGTATATTCGGCCGAATTTAGACATTATTTTAGCCATTTCCAAATAGATTTATTCTAAAAAATCTATATGACAAATTGGGTTAACTAAAAAATAATCACCGAACTTAATTTAAGTTTTTTTAAGTCTATATAATTTGTGGATTATATGGACTTGTACTGAATCGATTTTAAGATTTATGAAGTGATCTATTTTTAAAATAATAAAAATATTACTTATTAAAACATGTGTTGTGATCCATATATTATATAATTTAATTTAAAAATAACAGACTTTGTTTATTAATATAAAATTTTGTCTTTTTAAGTTTCGAATTTAACATTTTTTAAGTAAATCAAGATAGATAGTTGGTATGGTGATTCAATCTAGATTTAGCTTCACCTAAAAATTATATTCCATTAAAAATATAACTGAACTGAAAACTTTAAAACCGAGAGAACCCCGTTTTAAAACAATTCGTCAAACGAACATTTTATGTGAGACAACTATAATAATAATAATAATATCCGTTTTATATGAGATGGGTTATGTTAAGATATTGTAAATTGAATATTGTTGAAATTTGATTATTTTTTTAATTTGTGTGCATAAATCAAGGTGATTTAGTTCTGACAAAGAAATATATTTTGAATAAAAATTAAGGAATATCCTCTATTTAATTTTCGTTCATGAAAGACAATATCATTCAAGCTAAAGATAAAGAAATGCTGTTTCTCTAGTTTTCGTTCAAGCAAGAATATGCATTAGAACTGCATTATTATGATTTGTAAATTTTTTGAGGAAAAATTATATTTATATATAAAGACAGAAATTATATGAATTTTATTTAATAAAGATCTCACGTAGTATAAAGAAAAATTGCACAAATTAAGAATATTATTATATATATATATACGCAAATATGTTGATATCAAATTGCTATAAATTTTTGTGTTATTCTTACATGATATTATGTTGCCTTTTATGGATGTTGTTGACAATTATAAACATTGTTAGCCTTTTATGGGTGTTATGGGGAGTCTCCGCATAAAAATGTTTATGTACATTTCTTAATATTTTTGTACATCTCTAAATTCTTATCGGTATTGCCTTAAGAATTATAATATTAAGTCTCCCGTTTATACACTTCTTAAGGAAAAAATATTATGCACACCTCTTAATTTTTATATTCATTCAACACTTAATTAAAAAAAATAGTTTTTTTTCACCTTGTTAGTTGATTCATTCTAAATCATTTTTTATATTTTAAAATAAAAATATTTTTTATTGGTATTAGATAAATTTTAAATAGATAATAGAGTGTATTATTATCACTCTTCAAAAAAATTAGTTACGAGTTATTACTGTAGCTGGTGTTATTATTACTTTAAAAATTATCTCATTTAATTAAAGTGCATAAATAAAAAAATTAAATTCTAAAGTTACCACTTGGATGAGTGTTGAAAAAGAAAATCTATTACTGAAAATAGAAAGAAGATGTGAAAGTGGGTTGGATTTGTAGAATTAATATATTTTGATTGAATTGTTGGAATTACCTTGTATTAGCTTAATGCAAAATTAATATATTAAAAAACATATAAAAATATTAACACTACTCAGAATCTCTTACCTACACACATATATAAACATATGAATAAGCAATAAAGATGTTAAATAAAATTATAACGTTTTTGACAAAATTAATAATGTCCTCCCTTTGAGAAGTTCTTCTGAATTTTCTTAATCACTAAATTTGTATTTTTTAAACTACTCCCTATCATTAACTTTGTTAAAAATATCAAGTCCAATTAAAAGATAAATACTAACCTTAGAATTTTAATTTAAAAGTAAGCTCAAAATCTAATTAAAAAGTCCTGACTGAAAGTTCAAGTTACTTCATCACCAACATTAACTTTTGTTGCAGGATTAACGGAATTTATCTTTTAGTCTTGTAAAAAAAATAACTTGAAGTGTGTGCTGAAGTTTAAGTTTATGTATGTTTTGATATTTGAAGTCTTGTATATCTATAAAAAATAGAATAAAATTTATTCGAAACAAATATATATTGAACTTGATTAACACGAAATTAATGTGAACAAAGAATCCTTTAATTGTAGAATGAATAAAAAAAGTAAAGAGCATAAACTGATATTTTGGAGCAGCAAGAACTTTGTCTCATCAGTGATAGGAATAAGTTGAGAAAATGAAATAAACTAAAAATATATATAAAGATTATAAATAGACAGGTTGATGGTGTGTGAACGAAGCAGGGTTGTTAGTATTATAATAGTCCTGGCATTATTAATGAAGTGTATGATACTGGGTTGGATTGGGCAGCACCGCGCAGGGGTATTATCGTCCATGGAAAGATTTAGTTAGCAATATGCGCTTATCGTGTGGACCCCGCGTCTACTCGGCTTGCAAATTCGAAACGGTGACGCAGCGATCCTACCATCACCAATGTCTATCCAACCCACATGCTCCACCTCATTTCCTCTCTATAAATTCCTCTTCCCTCCCTGCGTTCCAAGCTCGCTTCCTTCTCTTCATTTCCCATACCGTTTTACTTCTCATTCTTCTTCTACTTCTTCAACTATGGGTATCACCTCCATCGCCTCTCCTTTCGACGCCATCCTCTTTGGTGAGTACAGGCCAACGCATGCTTCCTCTGTTTCTTCTTTCTTCCAAATCACTCTTTCTTAGTTCTTAATTCTTAATAATTAAACAGATTTGGACGACACCTTGTACCCCTCCTCCACCGGAATTGATCCCTGCGTCAAGAGAAACATCGAACTCTTTCTCATAGAGAAATGCGGATTCTCAGAATCCAAAGCGCTCACTCTCCGAGTTGAACTATTCAAAACCTACGGAAGCACCCTCGCCGGTTTGCGAGTCAGTATAACAAAATTTCCATCAATGTCCCTTCCATAACTCACAATAAGTCATAATTATACTCATTACAACAATCTCTCTTTCCTTACTTTACAGGCTCTTGGTTATGATATCACCGCAGATGAATACCACAGGTGAGAATAAAACACAGATAAAAACTACACCGAACAGAATTTTCTTTATTAACACTAAATAAACGTTGGTCTAGAACTAAACTTTTCGTTCTCTTGACATTCAACCAGTTTCGTGCACGGAAGGCTACCTTACGACTCCATCAAGCCTGACGCTCAGTTACGGAACCTCCTCTGCACTATCAAACAAAGAAAAATTGTATGTTACTACTTCTCGGTGGAATTTTTCTTTCCTCTTTTTTTTATTACTATTTTATTCTGATTTTCTTATCTTCGTTTAAGGTTTTCACCAATTCGGATAGGATTCACGCGATGAGGGCTTTGGATAGGCTTGGGATCAAGGACTGTTTCGAGCAAATTATTTGCTTCGAGACTATTAACCCGAATCTCCCCAACGCAACCCGACCCGACGAATTTCCCGTCCTCCTCAAACCATCGCCGGACGCCTTCAAGATCGCGCTCCACGCTGCCAACGTGGATCCTCGTCGTACGGTAAGGGCGCCGCGAACTGCCTTTACTGTAAAATCACGTTAAAATACTAATTCAAGAAGCAACAGTAATCAACGGTCCCAGAAACCAAAACCAAGGAGTTCTAAAATAG